CCAGTGCCCATGTTGTGGCTCACCACTGTCCACCACTACAGCTCCAGGGTACCTGATGATCTGACCTCCACAGGCACCTACACTCATGTACACAGATGCATACACATATACATATTTTTTTCAGTTTTTTTTTTTTTTTTTTTTTGAGACATGGTTTCTCTGTGTAGTTTTGGCTGTCCTGGAACTCACTCTGTAGACCAGGCTGACCTCGGACTCACAGAGATCTGTCTGCCTCTGCCTCTCGAGTGCTGGGATTAAAGGTGTGCGCCACCTTCACCCAGCATACACATATACATAATTTACAAGTAATAAAAATAAATCTTTCTTAAAAACAAAACAAAACATCCTGACCCTCCTGCTTTGGCCTCCTGGGCGATGAGATTGTAAGCTGGTGGTACTACACCTAGTTTGGCATTGAGGGTTGAATCTAGGGCCCCACAGATACCAGGCAAGTACTCTACTACCGAGCCGTACCCCCGACCTCTGCTTACTTTTTATTTTGTGACAGGGTCTCACCAAGTTGCTCCAGTTAACTTTGAATTCACTTGCTACCCCAAGCTGTGATTTTCTATAGCCTCAGCTTCCCCAAGTAGCTGGAATTACAAAATTGTGCCACCAGACATGGATTAGCATAATTTTAAAAAATTATTTATTTTTTATTTCATGTGCCTGCATGTATGAGAGTGTTGGATACCCTGGAACTGGAGTTACAGACAGTTGTGACCTGCTGTGTGTGGGTGCTGGGAATTGAACTTGGGTCCTCTGGAGAAGCAGCCAGTGCTCTTAGCCACTGAGCATCTCTCCAGCCCATGGCTTAGCATTTTTTAGAAGAGATTTTTTTTAATTATAAAGTTAGTGTTACTCAGCAACAACAAAAAAGGCTGGGGAATACAGACACATAAACAAATGAAGAGAACTTTTTAAAGCTATCTTTAACATTTGTGGTGTTCTTTTCTACTCCACTGTGAATAAATTTGTGGTTTGCATGTTACTTTGAAGTTACCATACAACATGCCTGCTTAACCTCAAAAGGACGTATTCTTCTATAAATAGGTTATAGCGCCACCAATTACAAGCTGTGAATATTCCACCCAGAAACCATACCTAATAATTTTGCTGCCATAAAATATTTCTTGGGACTGAGGGATGGCTCAGTTAGTAAAGTGCCTGCTGCATAAGCATGAGGACCTTAGTTTGAATCTCTTTTGGGGGGCAGGGAGGGTGTTTCAAGACAGGGTTTTTCTGCAGCTTTGGATCCTGTCCTGGGACTCTCTCTGTAGATCAGGCTGGCCTGGAACTCAAAGAGATCCACCTGCCTTTGCCTCCCAAATGCTGGGATTAAAAGTGTCTGCCACCACTGCCCTGCTGAGTTTGGATCCCTAATACCTATGTAAAAGCTGGGCTCAGTAGTGTATGGCTGCTGAAGTTTGCTGGCCAGTCAGTTTAGGCAATTTGTGAGCTTTGGGCTCAGTGAGAGGGCCAGTCTCTCACTGACAGAAAACACCCATGGTTGATCTCCAGCCTCCACAGGTGTACACACACACACACACACACACACACACACACACACACACACACACCCTGAATAAATGATATTTAAAGTCCAGCTGTGAACAGCTATTAAGTAGCCTTTCATTTTTGCTGTATCCTTTTCTTACTAGTGAGACAGAAAATGCCCTGGGCATGCTCTACCTCATATATGTCCTTGATGACTTGTTAGGTTCTTGGTATGAGTTTTAGGTATTGTTTATATAATGAAAATATTAAACCATTGCTTTGTTTTTCTTTTGAGACTAGGTCTCATTTTGTAGCACAGGCTAGCCTTCAACTTGTGGCAATTCTCTCGTTTTAGCCCCCCAAATGCAAGGATTACAAGTGTGAACCACTATGTGTGGAGAGGCATTTTTTCTAGTCTGAAATCTGTTTTTCACTGTTAGTCATGATTTGGAGTGGAGTAAATTGCACTTTCCCCTCAACAACAAGAGTGAAAGAAGTTTCTCTATTTATTTATTTGTTTATTTACTTTTGCTTTTTTTGAGGCAGGGTTTCCCTGTATAGGCCCGTGTTCCTGGAACTCACAGAAAGCCATCTGCCTCTTCCTCCTGAGTGCTGGGATTAAAGGCATGCACCACCACTGCCCAGCCAAAAAGTTGTAAAAATTTCTCATAAATAAGCTGCTTGTCTATCTTTTCTTTGTGGTTTCTCCTATTTTCTCTAGTGTTAGAGAACCATTCATCCTTCTAATAAATTATTCTCCATTGGGTTAAAGAATTGACGGGAGAACTAGGTCGAGTCTGGGTGGTACACCATTCGTCTAATATGCACATGGCTCTGAATTCCAATGCCAGGAAAGGAGCAGGGTGGTGGGGAAGGAGAAGAAGAAAGGGAAGAAAATAATTGAAAGAAAAGAAAAAAGGACTCATCTTTCCCCCCAGGTTTTAGAACGGTGTCCCCTTTTTCCCTGCATATATTTGATTGTCCTTGGTGCTCACTGGAAGTAGCTGAGGCAGGAGTTAAGCTTATTCATGTGTATCCAAAACACTGGAAGAATAGGTACCAAAAACGTTACCCCAGTTATCTGTGGCTAACAGGAGCGAGACTGAAGTGGATTCCCTGTTCCTGCCTGCCCAGCACTCAGATTTCTTTTGGGCCCGTTATTTCTCTCCTGTGTATGGCTGAGTACCCACCATAGAATATTTGTCCAGTATGGTGTCTTATTCCCCTGGCAACATTCTGGAGGCGGAGGGTAGCTACATCACACAATTACACAGAGATATTCAGGGACTCAAGAGCCCTTCTCTGCTAGGTCCTGGAAATGGGGTCAGCATGGGAAGAGAAATCAAACAGGAGAGGAGAGACAGCAGCTCCATGAACTTAGCATCTCTAGTTCCAGTCTCAGATGCCCTGGAACTTGGTGGCTGTGCTTTGATCTGTGCTAGCTGTGATACATCAAGGTTTAAGGCTGTGACTGTAACATTAAGCAGGTAGAAGCAGAAGGTCAGTAGGTCAAGGTCATCTTTAGACTGCATAGCAAATCTGAGGTCAACCTGAGCTACACAAAACTCTGTTATCAACAAAATAAAAGCAGAGCTGGAGACATGGCTATGGTTAAGAGCACTTGCTACTCCTCTTGCAGAGGACTCAGGTTCAGTTCCCAGCACTGATGCAGAGAATAATGATCATATGTAACTAAAGTTCCAAGGTATATGATGCCCTCTTCTGGTTTCCAAGAGCTCTTGCATGAGCATGGTGCACATACACACTGGCAAACCCACACACATAGACATAAAAGAAAATAAATCTTAAAAAAAAAAAAGTTGTGCTAGACCTCTGTGGGACACCTTGTCACCCAGTGTGTTGTCACAGAGATAAACACAACTGTATTAACACTACATTCTAGCTCACTAGCATGTTGTTTGGGTGCTCAGAATAGAGGTTTGGGCCTGGGTCAGAAGTGGGTTAGGAATCTGAGATACTAAGACATGAGGGAAGAAAATACCCCTTAGCCTCTGACCCTGGTCAAATCAGGTCTTTCCTTTGAGCCCTGGTTTATACTGAATCTTGTTCTCATGTTTTACTTTGTTTTGTGTGTATGAGTGTGCAAGTCCGTGGAAATCAGGAGGATTCCTGCCTCACTCCCTTGAGACATTGTTGCTCCTGAAGCTAGCCTGGTAGCATGCTCTAGCATGCTTCCACACAGTTCTGGGATAACAGGAGCACACAGCCACCTCCAGCTTTTTACATGGGTTCTGGGGATTTGAACTCAGGCCGTGTGCTTGAGCAGCTTACCCACTGAGCCATCTCCACATCTTTGTTTTGTCCTTCCTCCATCCCTGTCCTTGAAGGAGACTCTCAGCAGCAGCTTGCTTAGAACATGTGACAACACACTTATCTCCGCCTCTGATGCACTACGGTTGTGTGAGCCACCATACCCAGCTTGTTCTGAACTACAGTATTCTAAGTACCACATACCCATTACACAGAGCTCTCAGGAAAATTTTGAGTCAGTTGTCAATAATTCCATATATCAGAGAAGAAACTGAGGCTCCAAAAGGTAGAGAATGGTAAGGGTGGTCAGACTCTGAAATCCTTCTAGCAGTCTTCCCTGGCCTGACTACTCCAGGACAAGGGATGGCCAAACGGGGAGAAGTAAAGGTCAAATCCAGGAGAGCCATTCCAGGTAGGTCAGGTTGGGAGCCAGTGCCTCCTTTGCCCTGCTCCAGGGCAGACCACCTTTAATCACTGCCAGTTGCTTCCCCCTCTAGCTTGAGCTCAATTTATTCCCAAAGAGCCTTGCTTAAACCAAGCCGGGTCAGGTCCCTTGGCTTGGAGCCTTGCAGCCTCAGGAGCAGATTTACTCCACCCTCTACAACCTGGCTCCCAGCCATGGGTCTGTCACATGGCACTGTGGTCCTCTTTGGCCTGCTTCCCTAAGGATCCAGATTTAACTCCACCTCCCCCTTCCCACCTCTCTTTCCTAGTCCCTTTGAGCAGAGTGCCTGCAAGTGTAAGGGATCAGAGCGGCTGTTTCTGCTGACTTGGGACTTCAGTTTACCTGGCTATCAAATGGGATAATGCAGCTCTTTCTCTCCCCAGCCTCTTACTTAGTCTTATGAACCTTCCATGGGCTTAGCTCCCTTTAACCACTAGAGGGTGGGGACAGAAAGGATAGAAGCCTAAGGACCCTAAGGGAGGTACCAGAACTGTTCTGAAAGCAACTCCATGCTCAAACTGGCCAGCCTCTGGCATTTCATAAATGGCGGTTCGAATACCGTTTGCCTCTGACCAACTGCTGATTTCAAGACATCTCTGAACCTCACTTGTCTCCGCTGACAAGAGTCCTGCTGAAGACCAAGGGGCAAGGAAACATGTTGCAGGAGCTGTAGTAGAACCATTTGGGGACCTTCTCCAGTCTGAGAGTGCGCGTCCCCTCAACTCCCAATCCCCAGGTCCTGTCCCTCAGGCTCCTCCTCCATTGACATCAGAGCCGCAGGCGGGCCGAGCCCCAGTCAAGCGCCAGCGACCGAGCAGGCAGGCTGACCAGGCACAGACGCGGTGGTGGGAGCTCTTCACCAGCCACCTCGGCCCTCGCAGCCAGCCAGCCCTGACGCGGGGCAGCCACAGGTACAGCTGGGGTCCGCCTTGCTCTGTGCCTCTCTGGGAGCCCCAGCCACAGCGTACTGAAGCCCAAGGGTGGGAGGGGCATCTGGCCCCTGGCCTGAATAGGGCTGGGCCTTTCTCACCTCTGTGCCAGGCCCATCAGGTGCTAGGTGACCTCCAGGGATGCTGCCTGGGTGTCAGAGCAGGGTGGGTTGGAGCGCTGCCTGTGCGCGTGTTTGTCGGAGCACGCTAGGCCGGATTGGAAGGGCGTGGGCATTTGGAAGTGTAGGTGGGGGAGGGTATGTGAGGGGTTCTCTGAAGCAGGCATGTGCTTCAGTTGAGTAAGGGTGTCTGGGAATTCATTTTTTGTTGCATATGGTGTTCAAGGATGGATACACACACACACACACACACACACACACACACACTGGTGTCTGACTTGCAGGGTGTCAGAGTTGGGGGAGATTTGGTTCTGTTCTGAGGGCATTTTAGAGTTAGGTAGAGGGTTATGGCTTGGTTTGCTGTGTAGGGCACTGGGCAGAGGAGCTGGAGTGTGTACATAGGACTGAAGTTGCTGAGTCTGATGCCACCTTGTTCATGTGTGCATGGAATCAGTATTGGAGGTAAGGGGTCTGAGTGAGGGGTGTTTGGATGAACTGGTAAGTGTGAGAGCAAGGGAGACTGTATATATGAACATGTATGTTGATGTCTGGGTAAATGCATATAATCAGGAACCGTGGTAAGTAGTGTGCTGGGTCTAGAAGGCAGGTATTTGGGCTCAAGATTCCTATAACTCCTGATGTGTCATTAGTGCTGGCCCTCAGGTGAGTTTGACTTTACTTCTTTAACTCACTGTTGGCTTTTCTTAGAAACCTTTGGTCCTGGGATGGATGGATGGCCAATGCTTGGGGAACAAGGTTCCATTCAACGAGTGGACAGTTCTGGTTAGGGTGCCTTCCTTTCATCTTTCCCAGAGGAAACCGAAGGAGGGCAGCTTCCCAGAGCTATGTGGCATGAGGGGCTCTATTTGGACTTACCCACTGTGATTCCTGGATGTGGAGAGATTGTTTTCTGAATGATCCCCAACAGAAGACAGCTTTTGACCTTAGCAAGCTTAGCTGGGACCATGGCTGGTGTCTCTTGGGCAATTCTGGACTCACCCTATCCATCTCCAACCTCAGTTTCCTACTTTTCACATGATACATGGGGAGAGACCCCATTCTCTCTTGTTGGATGAGACAGAAGTCTAGGGAAAGGTCCAGGATACATAAGGTCAGACCAGGAGGGGATGGGTGGGACCAGCTTTCAGGCTGCTGGGACAGACAGGAGTCAGGAGGGCTAGGCCTGGGGAGTTCCAGCTGTGGCTGATGTTGCCTTGGCAACAGTGAGAAAGAGCTATTTAAAAACGTGGCTGAGATATTGCTGGAAGCCCAGGCTGCCGGAAACCTGATTTGTGAGAGGCTAGGGTGGTGAGGAGGAGGGAAAGGAGACACCCAGACCTTCCCAGGATGAGACTGGGGCATCACTGCTTCTGGGCAGAGGGTTCCTCTGGGTGCTACTTCTAGCTGTGGTCTTATCAGCTGTCTCTCTCAAGGGGGAGGGTTTACTTGGGTGTTAAGGCAAAATGGAGAATGAAGAAGTGAAGGAATGCATGAATACTGAGAATTTTGCTGCTACGAGGAATGGTTTTTCTCTAGGCGTAAGAATTCTCAAAAAAAAAGAATTCTCAAACAAATTTGTTGAATGAACAAATGACTAGCGAAGACTAAACGGCTGTGTCAATGAGCACATCAAAGAATGAATGAACTCCTGTAGGCTGAACAGTCATGGGACATGCAATAGAGTCTCAGAGATGCTGGACCCTCTCAATCTCTCCCCCATTTCCCTTCCAGGAGCCCTGGCTGTGGCTGGAGGGCAGTGGGCCATGCCAGGGGCAGTGGAAGGCCCCAGGTGGAAACAGGCAGAAGACATTAGGGATATTTATGACTTCCGAGATGTTCTGGGCACGTGAGTCTCAGGATGGGGGTGGGGTGGTGGAGCTATGTCTGAGCTGGGGACAGAATTGGGAAGGGCTTCACTTTGGGGCCTGAGGGCTGGAGAGGCTGAGTCTGGGGTGCTGTTCCTCTGGTCAGTTGACCAGCAAGCACTTCCCTTTTCCAACAGTCTAGCTGTGACATGGTACAGACTAGTCCAGCGTTTTGTTTTTGGCTGACAGTGGGTAAGATGGGGCCTCTCCTATACAACCATAGACTCCTTAAGAAGAGAAAGAATTACAGATGAATCAAAGAGCCATTTGTCCAGCTTGCTGCCAAGAGTGGGTGTCTGGCTAACTGAGGCTGGGCATGGCTGTTTTTGATGATGGGAATCCAAATTTAGCTCAAACCAGGTTTCTTTCCTTTACAAGTTGGTCCCGGAGAGACAGACAGACACACAAAAGGGCAGGTATATGTATATTATCCCTTACTGGGTTTGTAGAGGCCGAGTAGTTTCTTCTGGATAGAGAACACTCCCTGAAGGAGACATGAGATCTGGGGGCTGACAAATAAGATGGGACAGGCTTGTGCTTGTCAGAAAGAATGGTAATTCAAGGCAGGGGAACAGTATGTGCAAAGGCTCAGAGGCCAGGTTACTGAACAGAGGCAGTCTGCTGGAGCTCAGAGGAGTTGAAGAAGCAAGAGATGGAAAGGGGCAGAGAATGCACAACTTTGACAACAGGCTAAGGAGGAAGAGACCATTTCACAGGACAGAGGAAGGCATTTAAGACTGCCCATAGGTGCTGGAGAGATGGCTCAGCAGTTAAGAGCACTAGCCACTCTTGCAGAGTACTAGGTTCAGTTCTCAGCACTGATGCTCACAAGCATCTGTAACTCCAGATCCATCCAGGGGCTCTGATGAGCTCTTCTGACCCTTGTGGGGCACCAGGTATACATGTGGTACAGACATACATGTAGGCAAAACTGTAACATAGAAATCTGTTTTTTTTGTTTTGTTTTGTTTTTTGAGACAGGGTTTCTCTATATTGCTTTGAAGTCTGTCCTGGAACTAGCTCTGTAGACCAGGCTGGCCTCGAACTCACAGAGACCCGTCTGCCTCTGCCTCCCGAGTGCTGGGATTAAAGGCATGTGCCACCACCACCCAGCTAATAAATCTGGGAAAAAAAATAAATAAAAAGACTAACTATAGTTTGGGGGCAAATTGGAGAGCCAAGAATGGAAAGCAGTTTGTGATCAGTCTCTAGTTGTTCTCAGTGACTGGAATGCTACAATGAGGGTTGATTTTGACTTAGAACTTTTTATTCTTCCAGGGAAAGCAAATAGATACAGAAACAATACCCTAGCAAATCCCCCTTGATCAGTGAGTGCCAGTATGAATAGATTTACTTGTTGCTATGAGTCTTGGATAAATCCCTGGCTCCTAAACTCACTGAGCATACAAATCACCCATGAACTTAGTTAAAATGCAGCATTTGACTTATGAAGTCTGTGGTGGATAAGACCTGAAATTCTTCATTTCAAAATATTTTCAGGTAACATAATTCTGAAGTTCTAAAGGGCATTGCATTACCCACAATTCAAACTGACTTTAACAGAAAAAAAGAATCAATCAATCACACACACAATCAAATGTCACAGGGGTAGAGTTCAGGCCCATTTGGCTCACCTGTTATCAGAAAAATTGTCAGCCTGGCTTCATTTTGAAACAGACTCTCCCAAAGATCCCTGCCATCCACTCCAGGGCTAGGAAACTGGCATGTATGTGACCAGCTATTGAGCCAAGGGACAGACAACTAAGTCTGGCTTATGTGACCACCTCTGGAGCCAGGGGGTAGATGAGTGCAGAAAGACACATAGGTGGTCCTGTAGGCTACAGGGGATGGAGGAGAGAGCAAGGGATTCTAGCTCCTCAACTTGCAAACCTCTATTTCACAGGGGTGCCTTCTCAGAGGTAATCCTGGCAGAGGACAAGAGGACACAGAAGCTGGTGGCCATCAAATGCATTGCCAAGAAGGCCCTGGAGGGCAAAGAGGGCAGCATGGAGAATGAGATCGCCGTCTTGCACAAGTGTGTGGGTCCTGCACTGACACACCCACCCTTGTTCCCCTGCTTTAGAAATCCTTTGACTTCTGGGCTTCACAGGATAAGAACTTATATTTGGCAGGGAGTGCTAACCTCCTAAATGAGACTGAAATGCCAGAGCTTGTTTATAGAGGATGAATCTGTTCATGGGGCCACAAGGTCAACCACCCACATAGCTCCCTACCTACCCAACCTTCCCCCATGCAGTAAAACAGACTATTTTGCTGACCCACTGACTAAATTAGCAACCAACTGTTATGTTCATGCTGACAGGTAACCTGTCATGCTGCAAAGTTTATAGCAAGCATTTGCTTCCAGTGCCTCCTATTTCCTAACTATCTGGACAGAGGAGATGGTTATTTCATTTCCTCTATTTGGGTGGGTGGGATAATGAGGCCAGCAAGGGCAAGAGACTTGCCCAAGTCTGCAGGAGAGTCAGGTTTTCCTTACCACCAAGGTCAAATGTCATTGGTTCATCTCTGGGGCACTGACTGTATGCAGATGCTGTCATACACATGTCATAACGTGCCTTGTTTGCCTTATGTCATGCGATTTTCACGTGACTTTTATAGATGAAGACATTCAGACTCAGAGAGGTGACATTCCATTCAACAAATATTGCAAGCAATTACTTTACATCTGGTGCTAGAATAGAGCTGAATTAGACATTCCCTATGCTTGAGTAAGTGACCTCTGGGTGAGAGAGGCTGGCAAAGGTGTAAACATGGGAAACTTAGAAGTCACATTCCCATCAGTTGCAAAAGTAAAATACTAGGTCCCTAAGTAGCATGTGGCAGAGGCAGGATCTGGGCCCAGGTCTGTCTGACATCAGACCCAGTGCTTATTTTTCTGTTAGTATTTTCTAGCATCAGCTTTTCCCCAGTGGGCTCCACAATCTTGGGTGTTCTGCCCCGGGTGCAAGTGCTGGGGAGTGTGCAAGCCATTCTGAGCTCTGAACCATCTCATTTCTCCTAGGATTAAGCACCCCAACATTGTAGCCCTGGATGACATCTATGAGAGTGGGGGCCACCTCTACCTCATCATGCAGCTGTGAGTGGCATGTCTGCCCATCCTTACTCCTCTCCCTGCTGCCCTACTCTCTTGGCCAGACTTTGCTGTTCCTTGCTGCAGGGTTTCAGGAGGGGAGCTCTTTGACCGCATCGTGGAGAAAGGATTCTACACAGAACGGGATGCCAGCCGCCTCATTTTCCAGGTGTTGGACGCTGTCAAGTACCTGCATGACCTGGGCATCGTGCATCGGGATCTCAAGGTGAGCTCCGAGGGGCTCACTAGAGAACTGCCAATCCTGCCTTGTCTGTCCTTGGGCATCTCTTGGCCCCTACTGGAGCCTCAGTTTCACATTTGCAAAATGAACTTCTTGTGACCCACTAAACCAACTCCCCTTATTTCAGATCAGAGAGGGACAAGAAATGTGGGCTGGGCTGTTATTTTACCTTAACAACACACATGTCCTTTTCTAATACTGGAACATCCTATTTGCTCTTTGTAGAGAAGGAGAGGAACAGTAAAGCTTCAGAGGAATGGATAGGGGCTTACACTGAAATACACTTCAGTCCAAGCCAAGTGGAGTGGTGCGAACACCTTTAATCCCAGCACTAGGGAGGCAGAAGCAGGCAGATCTGAGTTTGAGGCCAGCCTGTCTACACAGTGAATTCCAGGACTGCTAGGGCTACACAGAGAAACCCTGTCTCAAAAAACTGAAAACAAAACAAAAAACCCAACTGGATGAAAGAAAGGAAGGAAGAAGAGAAGAAAGAAAGAGAGAAAAGGAAGAAAAGAAAAACCCTCCAGTTCAGGATGGACGGGCTCTGGGTTATAACAGACTTTGGTCTGAAGACTAGCGATGCCCTAACTGGCTGCTGGGTCAAGCACTGCCTCTAAAGGCATTAATTTCCTCATCTGTAAAGTGGGCTTGTTCAGACTGGCCAGGCTGGTTATGTGGTATGGTTAAAATCAGTCAGGTACTTAATCAAGATCCATGTAGGAGATAAAAAAAAGTAAAATTTTTTGTGGTACTGGGAATTTCTGTAAGGCTTCTGAGGTCTATGAAAATCCTTCCCACAATCCCTTGGTCCTGTCCTTTTAAAAACTTGTGGCCTTCTAGAGAGAGAGAGATTGATAGTGTGTGTGTGTGTGTGTGTGTGTGTGTGTGTGTGTGTGTGTGTGTGATACCGCTTATTTACCTAGGGCCATACATATGGTACTAGGCAAGTGTTCTACCTATATATGCAACTGTACTCCACCCCCTAAAAGCCTCTTTTGTCTATCCCATTGCTTTTCCTAGCTAGGACTCAGGCTTCTGGTACTTGTTCTTGAGACAGGGTTTTGTGTGTATCAGGCTGGACTTTGCACTCAATATTAGCCAAGAACACACTGAACTCCTGATCCTCCTGCTTTTACCTCCCAAGTGTTGGGGCAGCAGGCACGCAAAACTGTGCCCACTAGCTAGCTTCTAATGGATTTAGCAGAAGCTGCGAGCCTCTGGCTACCCCTGACTTCCCCTTCTCTTCTTTCCTACCCTCCAAGCCAGAGAACCTGCTGTACTACAGCCTGGATGAAGACTCCAAAATCATGATCTCCGACTTTGGCCTCTCTAAGATGGAGGACCCAGGCAGTGTGCTCTCCACAGCCTGTGGGACTCCAGGATACGTGGGTGCGGAGAACCCTAGGTTGGGGCTGGGCATGAGGAAGGAGCCAGGAGATGCAGGATAGACATTTGTCACCACCATGTCCCCTTCCCTCCACAGCCCCCGAGGTCCTGGCCCAGAAGCCCTACAGCAAGGCGGTGGACTGCTGGTCCATAGGGGTCATTGCCTATATCCTGTAAGTGGGGGCATGGGCAGAGTGGCTTGTGATGAATTGTGTTCCCTGCTTTGTCCTCTCCTTCTATACAAATATGTACCAGCTAAATACTAACAGGCAGGGGTATGAAAAGATGGCTTAGTGGTTAAGAGTGCTCACTGCTTTTCCAGAGGACTCAGGTTCAATTCCCAGCACCCACTCGGTAGCTCACACCTGTCCATAACTCCAGTTCCAGGGGATCTAGTGCTTTGTTTGTCTCTGTAGGTACATACACATGGTGCATAGACTTACACGAAGGCAAAACACCTATATACAAACACACACACACACACACACACACACACACACACACACACAGACAAAATAACAACAACCTAACAGGCTTCATTCAAGAGATGCCATGTTTCCAGTACACTGTGGGAAGCACCGAGGATTTAGCAGAAAACAAACCAAACCATGTGACTGCCCTTAAGAGGTGACAGAGAGAATCTATAAAGTAGCATCACCTGGTAAAAATCAGTGAAGAAAAGTCAAACAGTAGGAGATGGAGAGAGATGTCATTTCAGATAGGCAAGGGCTCTTTGGGGAGGGGACATCTGAGTGGCTCTGAGTGAAGCAAAGTATCCAGACAATTTATGTGTGGGTAGAATGTCAAACACAAAGGTGCTTAGGATAGTAGGTTCAAAGGACAGGAGGCTAGACTGGCAGACGGAAGTGAGCAAGGCAAGGAAGAGAACTTCCTGTGGGTCCTGTCTGGTTCTTGGCACTGCTCCATCTCTAAGCCTACTGAAGTACATTTGAAGCTGACATGATAAATTTTTCTCTGCCCAGGCTCTGTGGCTACCCACCCTTCTATGATGAAAATGATGCCAAACTATTTGAACAGATTTTGAAGGCCGAGTATGAGTTTGACTCTCCTTACTGGGATGACATCTCTGACTCTGGTATCTGGGTCTTTTGCCTTCTTTGTCTGGGCTCCGCGCTAGGGTCTCCCCACTGTCTTTCTTCTGTCATATCTCCGAGCTCCAGGCTAGAAGCTGAGGTCATGTTTCACCTTGGGTCCCTTCTGCTTGATCCTTGATCTGACAGATCTATATGCATTCATTCAGTCTTCAAACATAGTAGTTACAAAAATACCTCCCCTAAGGCTGACTTCCCTGAGGCTTAAACAGCATAAATATTTCCATCTTCCATTTCATGCCACAGTTAGGAACTAGCTTGTGATGGCTGCAAATGGTTTACACACTAGTGTGAAGTGTACTGAGTGGATTCTTCTGTAAATATGTTCTCAAGAAAGGAGGGAACTAGAAGGCCTCATTGTCTTGCCTTGTTGCCTGCTGAGATCCGAGGGAGTGAGTGCTGCTTTGGGGGTATCCACAGGCACGGTCATGCTGTATCTTTGCTTTTGTCTTGGGGCTTCAGCCAAAGACTTCATACGGCACTTGATGGAGAAAGACCCAGAGAAGAGGTTCACCTGTGAGCAGGCCTTGCAGCACCCATGGTGAGAGCTCCCTCCAAATGGTGTGTGAGGGTGGGTTCTGGAGGCCCCAGGCTTGCCTTCAGCCTTACAAGCAAACCTCCATATACCCCCATCCTAGGATTGCAGGAGATACAGCTCTGGATAAGAATATCCACCAGTCAGTGAGCGAGCAGATCAAGAAGAACTTTGCCAAGAGCAAGTGGAAGGTCAGCATACACCTCTAACCCTGGTCCTCCCCACACTCAACTTGCACAGCACCCAGTACCAAGTGCATGCAGGACCTGCCCAGGGAGGTATTCCAAAGAATCTCTTTTTGTTCACTCAACAAAGGTCTTTTGACCTCTAAAGTCCAAAGAGGGTCCCTGAGTTCCATCTCTACAGAGACAGTCTACTCTCCAGAACTCATATGATACAGCCCATGGGACCCAAGAAGGGTCAGAAAGGTCTGTTGGTTGACCAGTAATTAACCAGACACAGAGAATTCCCTGACAGGGATGCAAAGAGGCCAGGGTAAGAGGGTGTGGCTAGTGCTAAGCCCTCTGGACTAACCTGGAGGAACTAAGGGAACTAATTGTTAAGAGCCCAGGCTGCAGAAGCTGGTAAAGGCTACTGGGATCCTTGAATGTTAAAGTGGGGCACCCAACTGTCGTAGAGGATGATCCCAGAAAGACAGAAAGCAGGAACTCATCCCGAAGAAAGATCTGCTTTCAGGATGCAGAGAAAGCAGGGATGAAGCCTGGGAGGCCCAATAGGGTGTGTCAGAGACGCAGCAGATAGTGGGGCTTGATTCAGAAGCTGCAAGAACAACACAGGATGACCGAAAGGAGGAGGCACATTCACAAGAAAACAAAGATGAGAGGCATACTAAGGGAGTGAGATGCTAAGGGCTGGCCCAACCTTCTGGCTGTGGACAATGTAGACAGTGGTACCATAACCATGATAATAATCCTAGGAGCAGAAACATGTCTTGAGGGGGTTTAGTTTTGGATATGGTCAACTTGAGAGACACATAGGACATCTAGGTGAACAAATTGAATATAAAATGAAAGAAACAAGTATGCAAATTACCTAACCTTTCTGCACTTCATACACCTTTAATCTCAGCACTTGTCAGTCAGAAGCAGGCAGACCTCTGTGAGTTCCAGGACAGCCAATGCCACATAGTCAGACCCTGTCTCAATCAAATGACCAGTGCTCACCGGCCTGGTGTGTAACATACATATGCCTGTAATCCCAACACTTTGGAGGCTGAGGCTGAGGCAAGGATATAGAGTAAGACTGTCTTTTTGTTTGTTTGTTTGTTTTTCGAGACAGGGTTTCTCTGTATTGTCCTAGAACTAGCTCTGTAGACCAGGCTGGCCTACAAGACTGTCTTTTTAAAAAGAGAAACAACGCAAAAGCACTGCCTCACAGAATTTTGTGAGGATTAAACGAATAACCATGAAACCTGCTCAGAGCTGGGCTTGACACCCAAGTGTCTGTTATAGGAATATGAATTCCTTTGTGCACATTTTACACACGTGCTTGCACGTAAGACTGAATATAATTTAGTGGCTTTACAGTTTTCTCAGGAGGACTTGGGAGTCACTACGGAAAGCGGGACTGGCAATGGCAGAATCGCTGCGGGGCTCCCCCTGCCGACCCTGAGCCCTTAGGCGCCTTCTCAGCAGTCCCCTTCCTCTCTTCCCACAGCAAGCTTTCAATGCCACAGCTGTGGTCCGGCACATGAGGAAGCTTCAGCTGGGCACCAGCCAGGAGGGGCAAGGACAGCCAGCCAGCCATGGGGAGCTGCTGACACCGACAGCTGGGGGTAAGAACCAGGGCCACGTGGAAGGGGTCAGGTGGTCCATGGAGACGCACAAGGCTGGGGTCCGAGCTGGAGCCTGATGCACAGCCGCAACCTTTGCTCTTTTCCCCACACAGGGCCAGCAGCTGGCTGTTGCTGCCGAGACTGCTGTGTGGAGCCAGGCTCGGAACTGCCCCCTGCACCACCCCGGAGCTCCAGGGCCATGGACTGAACACGGAAGTCAGAGTTTCTTTCATGGGAGGGGTTGGGGGCAGCCTGCCTCCTCCTCACCCCAGAACTGGGGAGTTTCTTACCCCAAACCTCCTCACCCTTCCCTCTCACTCTTCACTGCATTTTCCATACAAATGTTTCTATTTTATTGTTCTTCTTGTAATAAAGGGAAGATAAAACAAGAGCACTCCGTTTTCTCAAACAGCCCCCTTGCTCCTGCTATAAATCTGACTGCTTGATTTTGGGGTGCTGGCCATCTGAGGTGGGAGTGGTGAGTCTTCTTGACATGAAACTGGGTGGGGATAGAGAAGTGGAGAACAATGGGAAAGATACCAATGACATCATTTGTCCCCTGGGTCCTACCTAACCTTCTGGCCTCTTAGAGCCCTTCCTGCGCTTTGCTGGTGGCTCCCGAGCCTGGTTTGGTTGACGCAGATCAGCGCTGAACAGCACCTATGGGAAGAGGAATATGGAGTCTATGGGAGGAGCAGATGCTGAGGTCAGGGCTGGGGTCAATAGAGAATATTTGGGGGGAGGGTGGGAGTGGGAGTCATGAGAACAGGTGACTGAAGAGTCCAGGGGTCAAGCAGGGCTGAGGGAGAAGTCCTTTATGGTCTGAGCTAGGTATACTTACTGCTTGGGCCCAGCCAGCATAAGGTCCCCACAGATTCCGGAAAAATTTTCCTAAGTTAGAAGTGAGGAGGCTCCATTAATTGATCCTCATACCCTCCATCCTCAGATGGGAAGTGTGGGAGAGATGATTAAGACTGCAGAGATTTTTCCAACCTCAGCCCAACACCCCAGCACCACACATTCTCCTCACCCAGTTCTTTGTTGGCCAGGGGGCTCGGGCCCTTAGCCTGGGATGTGTTAGGATGCCAGCCGTAGTCACGCTGGGCGATCTGCCATACATGTACATCCACAGGCACAGCCTGGGGTTTGTCAAGGGCCATTAAGCAGATGCAGTCAGCCACCTTTGACAAAGAGAGAACTATTGTGAAGGAATGGCAGGATCTGGCCAGCATCCAAAGCCATCTGCTTCCTCCTTCCACTAAGGGAACACTGTTCTGCATTTTCAGTCAATATGCAGTAATTACCATTACTTCTAAAAATAGCTTCAGGAAGACGTGTTCCTGGGTGAACACCTGTGTAGGCCATACTATCATATAACCTGGGGAGAAGGTATGACCATACTCTTTTTAGAGACAAGAATACTCAACCAGGTGGTGGTGGTGCACACCTTTAATCCTAGCCCTTGGGAGGCAGAGGCAGGCAGCCTGGTCTATAGAGTGAGTTCTAGGACAGCCAGGGCTACACAGAAAAACACTGCCCCAAAAAAATAAAAAAAAAGAGGAAGAAAACTGGGGATTTGAAGGGTGTCTTGGCCAAAACCACAGAGCAGAAATTAGGCAGTGCCAAGGCTTAATGCCAGTCCATTAATTTCTTTTTTGTTGTTATTGAGACAGGGTTTCTCTGTGTAGCCCTAGCTGTCCTGGAACTTACTCTGTAGACTAGGCTGACCTTGAACTCAGAAATCTACCTGCCTCTGTCTTCCAAGTGCTGGGATTAAAAGTGTGTGACACCACTGCCTGGCTCCATTAAAAATTCTTTAAGTTTATGGAGCTAGAGGGATGGCTCAGCAGTTAAGAACACTGGTTGCCCTTCCATAAGACCCAGGTTCAATTCTTTATACCCACACGGTGGCTTACAACCATCTGTCCAAAAGATCTGACACTCTCTTCTGGTCTCCTCTAGCAAGTGGTAAACAAACATACATACAGGCAAAATACACATATACAGAATTTTTTTTTTTAATTTCAAAATTAAGTGAAAATCAATTTTAAAAATTGCACATATTTATCTATTCATGGGGCTGGGGTCAGAGGGAGTTCAGAGGCCAATTTGGGTGTTAGTGTTCTCCTTCTACCATGTGGGTCTCAGGGATTGAACTTAGGGTATCAGGCTTGGTGGCCAGAACCAAAATTTATTTTAGTTTTTAAAGACTTGTCTTTGTGTGTGTGTGTGTGTGTGTGTGTGATGTGTGTTCGGGTGCCCATGGGGACTAACAGAGGGCATCAGATCCCCTGGGACTGGAGTGGGAGATAGTGATTATACATCACCTGACATGGATGCCAGAAGTCAAACTTGGGTCCTCTGGAAGAGCAGCAAGTGCTCTTAATCTCTGGGCCATTTATCCAGCTCCTGAAAAATTCATTTTAAGCCACAGAGGAGTATAAAGAATAAATTCAGGATGGAGAGATGGCTCAAAGGTTAAGAGCACTGACTACTCTTCCAGAGGTCCTGAGTTCAATTCCCAGAAACCTATGGTGGCTCACAACCATCTGTAATGAGATCTGATTCCCTCTTCTGGTGGGCAGACAAACATGCAGACAGAACACAGTATACTGTAAATAAATCTTTAAAAAAAAGAATAAAGACAAATTATAAATTCCAATTGTCTGCTAGATAAATCTATTGGCATCAACAAAACATTCTGCAAGCACAGATAATTTCAAGAAAAAAAAAAAAAAAGAAAAGAAAATGAGAAACAGAAACATCTTTCCATTTGTATTCCTAAAAGTAAACAGTATTAACTTTCCTGTTCTTCCTCTGGAAATTTCTGCATCTATACAGTAGTGCACATAAATGCACTGACAATAAGGACCTTTCTAAGAATTTATCCAAAGGGCAGCCTCTTTTATACTCACTGCTTTTGTCTCTGATACAATGTATGCTAGTCCTTTGTCCCCAGGGTACTCAGGTCTGCCTTGTTTCCACCTCTCCTACTCCCAGTGTGGAGAAGAGGGAATGGCCTACATCTCCACAGCCTCACCTTGGTACCCACCCCTGGCAGGGTGCACAGGGCCTTGTGGGCCTCTTCATATGGGGCTTCTCGAAGTTGCTGCAGCCAAGCCAGCCCGCCTTGCTCTTCCAGGATGGTTTTGGCACTGGCACATACATAGCGGGCCCGGTACCCCAGGCCCAACTTTCTGAGGTGAGCCTCTACCTCCGGACCTGTAGGGGTAGAGAGGAAAGGAGGGGTCAGGTATCCTTGCTTTGTTCCTGTTCTCAGGCTAGTGTATAATATCCCCCACCCCAATGCTTTTCTAGGCACCTCTTCCTTATTTATTGTCCTCTAGGACAGTTGGATGTAAAAAGCATTAAGACCTGAGTTCTGGCCCCATAAATGCTTTCTTAGTACCTCCTCTGTGTTGGACTCTGAAGAAGGGGCTGAGGATTCCTGCTCTGGAGGAATCCCCAATTGAGCTCTTTAGTTTTATTCAAGAAGTGCTCACATTCATGGCCTAAAAACCCGATGCAGAAGTTTGAGGTGGCTCAGCAGGTAAATGCACTTGTGCATAAGCCTGATGACTTGAGTCTGATCCTCAGAGTCCACATAAAAATCCAGATGGAAAGGGTTACATCTGTAATCCCAGCTCTCCTAAGGTAAGCGGGGAGGCAGAGATAGGAGACTCTGCTGGATGCTCACAGGCCAGGCAGTGTGAATGTGCAGCTCAGTGGCAGAAACAAGAGACTGGCCTAGAAAGAACTGACTTCTGAAAAGTTGTTTCCTGATTTTCATGTGTGTACCTGCACTTGTACACATGTGCACTCACAAGTAAATTTATAAATAATGATAATGACAGCAAGGACTGTGTGTGTGTGTGTGTGTGTGTGTGTGTGTGTCATGCACTGACTGGCAAAGAACGCTGTGCTTGCTTAAGCGTCCCAGTGACAGTACCACTGTGCTGCCCATTTTACAGAGAGGTGCGAAGTAAGGGCTCAGAAGGGGTTAAGTGGGCTGGAGAGATGGCTCAGCAGTTAAGAGCACTTTTGCCCTTGCAGAACACCAGGCTTCAGTTCTTAGCATCCACATGCTGCCTGACACCCATCAGTAACTCTAGTTCTAGGGGAATCTGACACCTTTTACTGCCCTTTGTGGGCACCAGGCATGTGCACCATGTACATGTGAAGACATGCAGGGAAAACACTCATAAAATACATATTTAAAAAAATAAAAACAAAACAAAAAACTAAGAGAGATTGAGGAAAATACCTGACACTGATCTCTGACTTCCACAAACACAGGCATTCATGCACATGCACACATACATGTAAGCACTACTTACCTACTAACCCATCAACCCCCATCCCTCCAACACAAAGAAAAGGCATGGTGGAGATAGGATCTCTCACTCAGGTAGAGACGGGAGTGCCCATATTTTTAAAATGTAGTCCTTTTCAACACCTCACCTTCGATTTATTCTATAAATTTCATTCTATAAATAAGTTAAGCCAAGCTTAGATAGGTGAACAAATTCCTTGAAGACTTATGATTATTATTTTCTGAGACAGGGTTTCCCTATGTAGCCCTCACTGTTCTGGAACTCACTCTGTAGACCAGGCTGGTCTCGAACTCACAGAGATACCCACCTGCCTCTGCCGGGACTAAAGAAGGCATGTGCCACCACTGCCCAGTTGACTTACAATTCTTAAGCCTAGAGCAGAAACTTAAGACCCTTCTTAGCACCAAAAAATACCCCCGTTTGAGAATGTACCCAAGGCAGGCTCCTTGCTATTTAGTCCCTAAGCACTTCACCTAGCTTAGTCCTTCTATCTGTTAACCAATATACTTGCCTTAAAGGAAAAATAAGTAGGGTTCACTATAGTGACAGCAGCTTAAAATTTCTACTTATTTACTATGTGCCAACTACTGCTAAATGCAGGATGTATCTCCCTTTATTCAATCCTCATGATTCTGAAAGAATATGTAATATTGTTTTCCATTTTACAGATTCAGAACTGAAGCACACACATGATAAATAACATAAGTGTGAGAGCTAGGATTCAGATCTAGGCAGTATGTCTCATATCATATGCCTGTAACCCTAAGCTATTGAACACTGTACAGATGTTTCTCTAATGAGGTGTGAATATACTGGTCAATATCCAACTAGGGATGTGCTGATGTTTCTGGGATAAAATCTGAAGAATAGTTGTAACTGGAATTGATCAGACCAAGTATGGTGGTTCTGGATGGAGACAGTGTTTTGGATGGTGGGGACCTCTGAGACAGGAGCTGGTAGCTTGCGGAGAACAGAACAGGTCTTCCTATCCAAATGCTGAAGGGGGCCCACCTACTCACCAGCCAGGGCCTGAAGGCTGGGGAAGCCATGGTAAATGACATCATCAAGCTGAATGAGTCGAGGTCCAAAGGCCTGGCACAGCCGTTCTACCATGCCAGTGATTCGAGCGATGTTGTTATTGGAGGAACAGATGAAGGAGAAAAGGCATTCTGTGGGGTCTTGTCTTAGCAGCCTCACACCTAGAAATCAGAAATGCAAGGGGTAGGACACACACCTGTTTTAGGATTAGCTTCCTTGAATCCCTCCACATCAGACACTATATTTAGAGGCTCCAGGGAGACCCAGGAGAATGAGGGAGAGAAGTCATGCTAGGCCTCTCAGTCTTGTGGCATTTTGTGAGGTCTGAGTGACCATCCAATTCCACTGAGGAAAAAAAAGGCCACAATGCAGTCACAAAAGCAGGGCTCTGTGTCCATTTTCTTCCTACAGCCCCAAAGAACAAACGCTTTTTTTGTATATAATGACAGAATGATGTCATCTGCTCCAGGACACATAGCCAGGATTAGGCCCCATATCTTATCATTCACTGTGGTGATCAACATCATTATTATGACAATAGCAGCAATGTACTAAGTACTAGTCTAATTACTTAAAAAGTACATTTTATTTTTTATTATCATGTGTACATGAACGTGAGCATAATGAGTGCCATGGCTCCTGAGTGGAGGCTAGAGGATAACCTTTGGTAGTTGGTTCTCCATTAAACACAAGGTCATCAGGCTTGCATGACAAGCGTCTTTATCTGCCGAGCCATGGCAAACTAAGCTGTAACTTAACCACCATTCCTACCCCTTGCACTCACCTTGGAATTTCTGAGCCACTTTTTGGAAGTGGGAGTCCACGGAAGCCCAACGGCTATACAGCTGAGCCAGGCTGACATCCAGCTGAAAGTACTTGTGCAAGGCTTCCAGCTCCTCTAGCGTGGGCCTGCCGACCTGGCTCTTGTCTCCTCGGTACACAGTGCAATACAGCTGCTCCTCGGTCTGGGTCAGTGTCCATACTTGATCTGCCAGCACACCACTCCAGTGTGCAGGGCTCTGCTCCCTCCACCTGAGCATCCCGGTAGACAGCTCTAACACTCTTTCGCTCTTTAAGGTCCCTCCTGTCTTACAAATGTCCCACCCAAAAACTGACTTATAAGTTACAAAGTTTAAAAAAAAAAAAAAGGGACAGGGGATTGAACCTAGAGCACGCTTACTTTCCCTAGGCTTTCCCACTGAGTTTTACATGGTCCTCACAATTCTGCACACTCACTACACCTACTTCATAAAGGAGGTAGCAGGCTCACCACCGGTGCTTACACACCTCTCATCCATCATTCCCAACGTTCTTACTCCCATCATTCTTTGCATTCCTGGTGGGCATGCAGTGAGGGGTCAGCGTCCCAGCAAGGGTCCTTCCAAGCGCGGTCACTCACCGGAAAGACTGTCCAGAAGCTAAAACCAGGTCCAGGCGCAGCTCAGAGCGTGGGCACGGGATAGAAGCCCAGAGGGCCGGGTTGGAGGTTAGGGTGCGATGCTTCATGCTGCCAGGCAGATGAGAGCCGAATACCATTCGGATGGCTGTCTCCGGCACATCACGGTCGCGTCCACAAAGAACCCGACTTTCCGGAGCTCTAAGGCCTCCCTCGCGAGTGACCCTCCCCCTCAGGGTGTAGCACCTGGGATCCTAGACTCTGGGTCTGGTGACAGGGCGGTCCCAGTTTGATTTGAGTCTCCCTCTCTCCTGCAAGTCCTATTCTGCCCACTTTTTGTGGAGCAGGCCCCTCCTTTTCCTTCTGACATGACCCCGCCCCCAGAGCCTCAGGCGCATGCCTTCTCCTCCTGCGCGGCCGTCGAGAGTTTTGGAAAGTCGCGCCAGGGAGGTTCTTCCGGGTCTTAGCTCACTGTCACCGGAAGTAGATGTCAGCCCCGGCTTATGTGATCCTAGGGGTAGCCAATCCGAGGAGAAAGTGAGAGGCGCCAATGAGAACTCGGGTGTGGTGGAATGGGCGGGTCTGCCTGAGGAGTCTTAGCGGTTGGCTTGCGGGCCTCGCAGCTGGTGATTGGTCGCCCGCGGCCGGACTCTGCCATCTCATTGCCTTCGGTGTGATCTCAGGGTTTGCGACTTCTCGGTCTTGCCCGCTCTGGAGCCACTTCCTTGCAGGGCATGGTGGCACATTCACATCGTCCCGACACTCGGTAGGCAGAGGCGGGAGGATGGTCGCACGTTTGAAGCTGAAGTAGGCTGGGCTCATCTCAAGAAACAAACCCAAAGAACCTCATCCTCCCCTGCTCAAGCTTTCTCCACTGAGCCTCTTGAGGCAGTGAGTGAATCCCATAGAATTCTCTTTTCAGCGCTGACTCCCTCCACCTCCTGCCATGAGGCTCCGAATGCGCCATCTCGGCCTTCCTTCCAGACTTTAGAGGCCCAGCCAGCGGTCGCAGCTACCCTCTTCAATCTGGGCACGTTCCTTCAGTATACCCAATCTTCTGCCCACACGTCACGTAGAATAGGGTCTGTGTGTGGGCTTTCTTGGGGTTCACTGAATCCAAGTACCAATATGTGGCCCCCAGGCAGCCTAACGGACCTGAAAATTCAGTGGCCAGCATCCTATTGGTGGCTACCTTGACCCTAAACTGACTATATTACTTAGAACTTTATCAAAGATACTAAAAAATGCTGGGGGCTAGGACACATGAACTGGAGACATTAGTCTGACACACTAGGACATTCCCCACATAACAGATTTTTGGGGTTGTACCTAAATCATTGGACTACAGATTTGAGAGCAAGGTCTGCTGCTGGTTTATCTTTGTGTCTATGTATGGCAAGCCACAGCACACCTGCTAGTGCACATTAAACATCAACCTCATTTTTTTTTTTTTTTTTTTTTTTTTTGTCGTCTCAGTTCACTCTAAGTAGCTGCAAGGCCTCAGACAGCCATGTATTACTTTGGTTACCTCATCTATAGGCATGTCACCTTACAAGGAGGTGCCAGGCACTTAGAAGACATTCCCTTCAACAAGTGTTGAAAAAAATGCCGAGGCTGGATGTGTATGAACAGTCTTGTACAACTCTGTTTCCAATTAAGGTCTCAACTGTAGTGTTTGTAAGCTACAGTCCTAACAAAGGAGTTGAAACATGTGGAATCCACAAAGGAAGTCAGCAGTGAACTCATCTGTTAGCATGCTGGCCGAAGAGCCAGCTTTCCAGACAAATGGGCCTGAGTTTAAATCCTAGCTCTACAACTTGTTAATAGTAGGAACTTTGGCAAGTTAGTTCATTTTCCTAAATCTCAGTATCTGAGATAACCAACCTGTTATTAACCCACCCCATAATTACTGTGAAGATTACACAACAGTGAACCTAAGGTACTTCTTAATATGGGCCTGTCACTGTAGAGGTAACCGGTCTGTTATTAATTAGACCACTACATAGTTACTGAAGGGATTAGAAACAACTATGTATTTGTAGGTACTTAGGGCAGTGCCTGACACTCAGTGCATGGGAAATGGGAGCTTTCAGCTTTGTTGTTGAAACTTTTAAAAGACAGGTTTTTGTTATGTTACTCTGCCTGGCCTTGATCTCATGGCCAGGGATTATAAGACAGTGCCACCATACCCAGCTTGCTGATGTGCTGTCTTATGCCTAGCATGCACTGCATAGCAGTCAGCAAACCCTTGGGCACAAGTATGTCCCTTTGAATCCTTCTGCCCTGGTAGAAGGCAAGAAAAAAGAACTCTAAGTAGACTTTATTTTCTAAGAATCAATATATTTTCTTCCTTTGAAATAAATACAAACCAGTTTGAAAGGTAGGGGGATTCTATGGGAAAAGAAAGGAAATAGAGACAAGCTCCATTCTTTTTTTTTTTTTTTTCCTTTTTCTTTTTTTTAGTACCAAATGACTCTGGCGCGACCCGGAAACGCAGTTACAAATGAGAATAATTTAAATTCTCCAATAATTACAGTATTTACAACAGCAGGGGAGGGGTCACCTAGTGCCCCTCTTCCAGGCTAGACAGACATCAATTCCACTGCTAGGCTGGGATAATGCCGGCTTACCTTACCACCTGCAAGGGCCTCAGGCCTCTAGGCAGTTATTCCCCTGGCATAAGCAGGTAGGGGTGGTGGTATGGCCTGTTTTATGTAGTATTCTCACCATGGCCCACCATCCTGCCCTACAACACCATGAGGTCTTGAGCTCTTTTTGACCTGTGGGACCTCTCCTCTCCTTGCACTGAGTGGCCATGGGCCCTTGGAGTGTTTTGTACAGTCCAGCTGCACTCAGGGCAGGAGGGACCTCCCCTACCCAACTTCCCCTGAGACTGGCCCCAAGACCAGGAATTAATCAGTGCAGAGGGCGGCACCACTCCAGGACAGTGATCAAAGGGAAGGAGAGCGGTCACAGAGCACTGCAGTTGGGCTCTGACAATATCAGTCACTATCGCTGGTCTCGCTGCTCTGCTCACCCTGCACCTTGCTGCGGTGTTGCAGAGCTCTGTGATAGGCAATCTGCACTGACTTTCGAATGTTGGACTTGCGGCCCTCCAGCATCTTCTCTTTGTCTAGATCCTGGTTCACACCCAGAGGAACGAGTTTAGTTCTGGGAAGCCACTGCCTGTCAGACAAGGTAAAGAGATGACACATGGATTTCAGGGGGAACAAGTAGTAGCCCATCCACACTCCATGCATTTAGAAATGCCGGATTCTCAGTATCCTTGCTTTCAAGGAACCATGTAGTATATTGAGAATAGCCCAGTCAACAGTTATAGTAGGGGAAATAACTATCAGTTATACTAGGAGGAATAACTGATAATAGAAGCCTCAAGTAATAAAATTGATGCTATAAAAGGCTAACTAAAAGACTTACTTAGGAAATATTAAGTTATACTAGTAGAAGTTAGGTAAAGAGTTCTGCCCTAGATATGACTGGAAGGTGAATAGTGGACTAACCACGGGTGTTAGAAACTGTAGCAAAGAAACTTTTGTACCATTATGGCAGTCTAGGGTTGTTGAGAAAATGTTTCTGCTAATCACCAAGATTGACCTCCAATTAATCTGCACTCCCAGAACAAAAGGAGGCAATACTGATGTAAAACCAGCCATTAGGCCCATTCCCATGTCAAACAACATTCCTCTAAGGGTCATCTCAAGGTGGCAGTGCAAATGACAGCCATCATTAATGGCTAGTCTGCCATTAAATGAACCTCTTATCAGGGAAAGCATAATCCTGCCAAGTGGGCAAGATGACCCTGGGTTACAACTATTCAGAAAAGAACAACACTGGTGCACTTAATTATGACAATTTCTTTGCTGTATAAATCTCGCATCTGCCCAAGTGGCCAGACTTGCAGGCTCCTATCTTACAACCTGGGACCATTGAGATTTAAGATGACAGTGTATGTGGAATATATAGCCTAAGACCAATATAAGCTGGTTAAATGTTCTGTTTGAGGCTGGTTCCCTTTTGTGCATTAGCCAGAACCAGTTGCATGGTACTATTAAAGAGACATTCCTTTATTAATTTCTTAAGTATGAGGATTTCTCACCAGGAAGACAATTCTATAGCATAACCACAGGGTATTTTATAGGTACAAAAAGCCTTAAATAGGTACCCTGTCCCAGCTGTTTCAGGGAGACTATACACATTATCATTAACAAAAAAAATGGCTTTAAATCCCTGTTTCTCCTTTTTGTTTTTTTTTTTTGAGACATGTTTTCTCAGTGTAGTCCTGGCTGGCCCCAAACTCAGGGATCCACCTGCCTCTGCCTCATGAGTATAAAGCTGAAATGTTTATGCTTGCTTTTCCCCCCTGGTTACTATAGATGAAAAGGTGGGAAAAATAAAGTCTAGAAGACATCTGAGTGTGGGCAGGGAGCCACCCTAAATTTGCCAGTCACTGATGATCTTTTGTTTGTAGTTACAGCTGTTTGCCAGCTACTGCCCACTCAGCCCATCATACTCAAGATAAAATACCCTTTTTGCTTAGAGCTATTCTAAGTCTGTCCCCTCAACACCTTGTAATAACTTAATCTGTTGTGTCTCTTGGCAGCTTGCCCCACATCATCACAGTTGGCTGTGTTTATATCTATGGCTTTAGGTCACACCAAATCACCCCCCCCCCTTTCCTTACCAGGTTCGTTTGTTGTCAAAAAAGAGAACGAGGTAGAGGTGCTCTCGGGCTTCCTGTGTCATCTGTTCCCCAAGTTTTAGAACCTCCAGTGGTGGTACAGGGATGGGAACCCCATGGTGGAACATACCTTCTCGGGGCATCTTTGGATCAATGATCTGAGGGTATAATACAAGCCCATTTTGGTTTAGGTCAGTCTGTCCCCAAAGCTACCACTATCTAAGAATGTGAAGACTATAACTGAAGAATATGCTACTGAGACTGTAGTGTTGACCTTGTCATATTATTTCAGAGTCTAAAGGGCAAGAGAAGAGATAGGGAGAGGTGGGAAACTGACTGGGATCTCTCTGGGGTACTCAAGCTACATTTGTCTATCAGTCTACCTGCTAAGGAGCCCCGTGCTCTGTAGCTTGGCAGGGCTATGCTTATGAATACCAGTCCTAAGTTTGGAAAGTAAGGGGTAAGGAGAGAAACCATAGGCCTACCAGAGCTGGATATGATGGATAACCTCGGCATTTGGCCCACACAAGGTCCAGAGCATCCAATGGGGAGTCCTCATCCTCTGACAGCCAGCCAGCTCCTCGACCCAGACTCTTTCTTACCACTTCACAGGAATGGGAGAGAGGGGGCGGATCATCAGCTGGGGAGCTGGCAAGGCCTTGAAACTGGGTCCCCAGCACCCCTGACTTTGGGTGAGGGTACTTACTGCCGTGGCCCACGCCGCGGCCAGTGCCCACGGAGTAGGCCTCATTCTCAGTGCCTGAGGTATCTTCACTGCTGTCCTCTGGGAATGTGCCCCGAGAGAAGGAGGGCTTGCCCCGGCCTTGTTTTGAGGGTGTTGTGCTGTGGAAAAACAATTAGAATGAAATTCAGAGGGGGAAATGGGGAACTGCATGGCAGGGGTCCTCCTCCTTGTTACACACGCAAAATCTAGACTTTTGAGAAGTAGAGACTGTATGAAGTTTGCAACTCATACTTAGGGGTTAGGCTAGTAATCCAACTAATGTAGAGCTCCCATCAGTCACTGAGTAGAAAGCCTGCCTGTCCATAAACAATACCGACCAGAGCTGTCCAATCCTCTAGGAGAATAATTTATTGTTCTGAAGTACTTGAGATTGATCTTAGGGCCTCACACGAGCTAGACAAGTGTTCCACCAAGGAGCTACATCCCCAGTCCTTGAGACAGGGTACATATGTAGCCATGGCTAGACTGGAACTTACTCTATAGCCCAGGCTGACCTTGAGCTTGCAGCAATCCTACTTCAACCTCCCAAGTGCTGGAGTTACAGGTATGCACCACCATACCCAGCTGATCCTCTGATTTTTGTTTGTTTTTTGAGACAGGGTTTCTTTGTGTAGCCCTCACTGTCTTGGAACTTACTCTGTAGACTAGGTTGTCCCTAAACTCACAGAGATCCCCCTGCTTCTGCGTCCTGAGTGTTGGGATTAAAGGTGTAAGCTACTGCTGCCTGGCTTGACCCTCTGATTTTTTAAAATAATTTATTTATTTCATGTACATTGGTGTTTTGCCTACATGTATGTCTATGTGAGGGTGTCTAGTCCCCTGGAACTGATTTTTTAAAAAGAACTAAAAATTTTATTTTACTTTTAAATAAATTTAATCCTACTTCTCCTGGGCATTTTTTTTTTTTTTTTTTTTTTTTTAGTGTGAATTGTTATTTTGTCTCCATGTAAGTCTGTATAAGGATGCCAAATGCCCTGGAACTGGAGTTACAGACTATTGTGAGCTGTCATGTGGGTGCTGAGACTTGAACTCAGGTCCTCTGGAAGAGCAACCAGTTCTCTTAACCACTGAGCTGTCTCTCTGGCACACCCTACCCTCACCTCCATTTTTCATTTATTTTATCTGCAGGGGCATTTTGCCTGCATGTATGTCTATGTGCCATGTGTTTGCAGTGCCTGTGGAAACCAGAAGAAGGTATCAGAATCTCCTGGAACTGGAGCTACACTATGTGGGTGCTGGGAATTGGACCAGGGACCTACAGAAGAGTACCAGTACTCTTAACTGCTGAGCCATCTCTCCAGCATCTGTATTCAGCTATTAGAAACATCTTAGTGCCCAAAATAAAGTATGTCTGAAGGTCAAGGCACCAGTTTGCATTGCTCTATAAAGCATCAGCTTAACCTAATAGAATCCCTGTTCTGTCAGGGTAACTGATTATCTCATGTATTTTGTAGGGACACTGGATTTGAACTCCTTCCTTTGAACGAAAATGGCTGCCACTCAGCTTCCATGGGAGAACCTGGAAAGGCATCCTGAAGGTTGCATCCCATACTCAGGGCTAATACCTGGTCCGGTCTGAGGCGGCACTGCTGCTGCTGCTGCTGCTGGACTCAGAGTCTGAGCTGCTCCGGGGAAGGTTGCAGTCATTACGGTATACCAAGAAACTCTTCTTCACTGGCTGGTTCCCACTGCTGAAGCCATTGGCTGGTAAGTCTTGGAGGGAAGAGGAGGAGGGAAGAAACCAATTGGTCAGAAAGCTGTAGATCAAAGCTAGCATGGAGGCAAGGTGGAGTGAGTCTAGGTTCTCTTTCTGGGCTGAAAAAATCCTGCAACTTTGGCCAGCAAAGATAGCTCTGAGCAGTTCTACCATAGCGAGCCAAACCTCTGCACTGACCTTCACCTTTCCTTGGCCTAAAGACACAAAGGACTTAAAGGGCAAGAAGTTCCCCAAGGAAGGAGAGAAGAGAAAAGGTAAAGTGATACGGGGAGACGGGCTTGGATGGGAACCTGGCTGGGTCAGTATCTTTGGGCCTCAGTTTTCACAAGTGAAGGCTGAGGGGAGGGAATTTAAGGACTCCTAAGGGCCCTTCTAGCTGTCTTTTATAGGGAAATGAAGGGAGAGCTCAAAGTATGCTGGGAAGAATGGCTGCTCTGCTCACTCTCTTGGGGGCAGGGGCTGGGTGATGATGAGGCTCACCCATTGGGGGGTCTTCTGTGGACTTATCACTGTCGCTGTCTGAACTCGAACTGGGCCGGGGGCTCCTACCCCTCTTGCGCTGACGAAGGGAGCCCATGATGGGGAGCTGGGGGGGCCCCACAGGACTGCCTCCATGGCTGGGGGTCATCTGGCTCTCCCGGTTTTTGGGGGGCCGGCCCGGCCTCTTGGGCGGTCCAGCTGTCTTCGGGTTCTTTTTGGAGAACAGAACTGAGGTTCTCCTGCCCACCTCATGTGCGGGGGTTGAGGACATGTTGGGACCCAGGCCTGGAGCAGAGAAAGAGAGAAGGAGAGTTGGTGAGGGGCCTGACATGAAAAGGTAGATGTCCAGGATCACATTCTGGGAATATAGGATCATTACTCTGTCTACAATTGGGGAGATGATTTTGGGGTTAAGGATTTAGAACAACTCATACTAACAGCCAGAAAGGCAGCTATGAGGTTCCTGACTGGGAAATGAAGAAGAAAGTGCAGCTAGTTATGCAGGAAGGACCTCTACTTAGAGGACAGCAGGGCTGAGTATGTACTGCACAGCCAAAATCTAACTTGTTTTGGGGTCTTCCTTGCTATGGGGTTCAGACCTTTGCTTGTCTCCTGGCTGCTGCTCTCTTCTGCGGCACTGTCTGTCTGTCCATCCTTGTCACAGACTGCTGGGTGGGGTGTCAGATTGCCCCGGCTAGAGGGGCCATGACGCTCAGGCCCATCCCGGCCAGTCTCCCGCTGGTGAGCAAGCTTCCGCCGCAATGCCGTCATCTCTTTCTTGATCATTTTTGCACGCCGGGAACGGCCCACACTCTGCTTGCTGGCGTTGACTTCATCTAGCCGCTCCAGCAACAATTTCAGCTGCTCTTCCACTGGCAGGTGTTTCTGGTTTTCCATCAGGACAAGCCGTTCTTCCTCTGCTGCCAGGGAGAGTTGGGGGAGAAAGGTCAGGCTCAGGGCAGCCCATTGGGCCCCTTGAACCTGGGCAGGCAGCAGGAACCCATTCTTCCCATTGGCTTCTCCCAGGAAGCACTGCAAAATGGCAGCACTAGTATGTAGAATGGTGGCCCAGCTATCCATTCACCCTGTCTGGCTTCTTAGGGAGCATTCCTGGGGATAGCCTGCTGCTGCTCAGCTGCTTTCTGCCTGTACTGCCTGCTCCCAGGAAGGGACTTTTGGAAAGCTGTCCATCTCTGGCATTGGCCTCTATGCATGCAGATGACTCATCACCCACCATCTTCAGTGTGGTGTGGGGCCTCATCTCCAGCCAGGTTGTGAGGGATATGCATGCCCGTCTCAAAGTCAATGCCCATTTTTTCTGCCTGGCGCCGGGCTTGCCGGAGCACAGCACCACCCTGCTCACGGAGTCGCACCGCTGCCCTGTAGAAGATGGTGTCCTTGGCATTATACTTTAGGCAGTTGCTGACAATGAGGTTGAAGTCCTCCTCAAAATCATCAAAGTTCAAGTAGCGATAAGCCTCCAAGTTCTGCTTCATGGTGAAAAAATCCATGGGCTTTTTGATGTGATCTAGGTAGTCAGGTACCTGGGAGGGCAGGGTAAGTGTCTAAGTGGAGATTTGTTCTTATTCTCCCAAACCCTACTCTTTAACAGTCCTCCCACCCCTAAAATGCATCTAGCAACCTCCTCCCACCACAGTTAAGAGTCAGGCATATAGTACAAGGGAAGTTCTAATCCTGACTTTACTAGTCACAAGATGTGTAACCATAGTAGTCTCTCAACCTCTCCGGGCCTTATTTTCCTCTCCTGGAAAATGGTGATGAAAATGCAGGTAAATCTATTTCCTAGAACCATAGGCAGCTTTAAAATAAGGGAAAAAAAAAGTCATGAGAATTCTTTACAAATTGTACTGCCTTGTGTTCTTACTGATCATAAGGTTTGTGGCAAGGCTGCTGCCTTACATGTCTCATTTTATAGCTTTCAGAAAGAAAAGTGGCCCTGGGCTTCAGAGCTGGCTCTTTAGATTTTGAACCTTCTAAAGCTTCCACTGTAATCTTCCTGCCTGGGATTATTCATCTGGCAGACTCTGGGGAAGGAGTAAGGACAGCCTCCTATCCTGAGTTCTTGGGGTGCAATAAGGACAAGAATCCAGGTGATAGATGAGGCTCTAGTTCATCCTGCCCCAGAGTCACCAAACCCTTTATGTTTAGGTCCCCACCTAGTCCCTGGGCCAGACCTGCAGCAGGGGTCCAACTGGGAGAAGAGAAAGAAGTTGGAGTGAGGGGAAGGGATTCTTACTTCGTCCAATTCGGTTACCTCAGACAGAGGGACCGGCTCGCTGAAGATGTTGCCTGTGTCCTTCTCTTGGAGCTGCTCCAAGGTTTTTCGGAGGAGGATGAGGAAAGGGGTCAGCTGCATTTCCATAGCAATCTGCTGGATCTTGATCTGGCACATAAAAAGGCTGGATCAGCCAGGCCCTAGCCAGTCCCTCAGCAAAGGTCAAAGGAGATGGTCCCTGCTGGCTTAGGAACATGCTTTTTTCATCTAGCCCCATTGAAAGAAAGCTGTCTCTATCTACTTTGGTCCCCCTTCCTTGAACTCCTGGCCTGAGCTGCCTGGGTCAGAGGTTAGGATTCTGTGCAGTCTCCTTTGGTACTCAGCTTCCCACAGTCTTAAAAGCATACAGTGCTAGGACACTCGATGGTATTATGGGCTGGGAAGCCAGGGATACACACACACACACTACCTCCTCCAGGGCTGGCCCAGGAGCACTCACCGTCTCCCTTTTGAGTTTCTCTCGCTTTCGGATCAATTCCACCAGAAGTCTAGCTCGCTCCAGGTCATGCCGGAGCCGCTGCCAGGACTTGAGCTGTTCTTTGAGGGCCCAGTTCTTATCTTCAGAATCTCTCTGTAGAGATAAAAGGGGCATCAGATGGTGAGAGAGCCAGAGAAGAGTCTAGAAGAGGAGTGCAGGAAACCTAGGACAAGGGCAGGGCAAGTCAAGGAGGAAGCCCAGGAATTTATCAGTAGTACCTCCATCTACATGTTACCAGTGTCTAACACCAAGATAATGTTCAGTATATTTGTTGAATTAATGAGCACACAGGAACACTGCCTTCCCACCAACCTGGTAATATATAGATTTCATGTTGACCCTGCTTTGGGGGTTAATTTAAAGGTGAAAAAAACTTAAGCTCTTTGATGTTGGAGGCTATCACTACAAATTTTGGTCCTTGCCCTTTTGGTACTAGTTTCCACAGTCCACAGGGATTTGGACACAGTACCCCGACTTGATCACAGTTCCTCTGAGACTGAAGGTGTGTCTGCAGACGCCGGAGCAGTGGGACCCCATTCCGTGACTGTCGTTTCAGAGTCCAGTAGCTGTGTAGCCTCTGCATGAATTGGCTCTTCCTCTGGATGGTCAGGCGGTTGGTGATCTTACTGAGTCTGGAAATCAGGGAACAAAGTAAAAACCTGCTAGGTTCTGTGTGACTGCCAGGAAGAGTTCCTGAATCAGGACAAGTGGGGGCTATGATGCTCACCAGAAAGGTCTGGAAAACCAAACATAGTAAGTAGTTCACACCTATAATCCAAGCACTCAGGAGGTGGAGGCAAAAGGATCCAGAAGCTCAAGATAATCTTTGGCTCTATATGGAGTTCAAGCCCAGCCTACTACAAGAAATTCTATCTCAAAAAGAAGAGGAAGAGAAGTAGCTTGGAATTCTGGGTTTGAGACATAATTAACAGTGCCTTCAATGGCACAACACAGCAGAGAGAAAACCAAGCTTATATCACTAAGCAGAACAGCATCAGTCTGCCCCTAAGTCTGCTTAGTCACACAGCAGCCCAGGGCACAGTTAGACTCTGACCTCTCAGACTGAGCCTGTGGGGAAGATAATGTACCCCACCACCTGTTGGCCTCTTTGCTAAGATCAAGTGAAGATAAACTACAGGGACAGAAACTTATAGTGAAGTCAACCAGACAACACAAGACAGCTAAAAACAACTGACAATCAATTACAGCCTGACTGAGCAGCACTCCACAGGGCAGTCGCCAACAAGGGAAGGTGGCCCTCAGGGTCACAGACAACACTGCAGCATTTCTGTGCATAATCAAGTTGCACATATTATGTACTTATTTCTGTGCTGGGGACTGAACCCAGATCTCAATAGATGCTAAGCACATCTGACAACTGAGCTGTATCCTATCACCTTCACAACTTTCTGAGCCTTCTCCTCCCCACTTTTCACTGATTCTTTCATGGGAAGATCACTTTTCCTCAGTGGGTGTTTCATCTTAACAAACCACACCGTGAAAAAGAAGGGCAGCTTAAATACGTACTCCATCTTCTAGATAAAGGTTCAGAGTTTCTGGCACCTAATGCAAAAGTCAGGTGGTGACTTAAGATCACGCCCCAACCCCCCCCCCTACTCCCACCCCCAGAGAAAGGGTTTATCTCTGTAACAGTCCTAGCTGTCCTAGAACTCAATTTGTAGACCAGGCTGGCCTCAAACTCACTGAGATCTGTCCGCCTCTGCCTCCCAAATGCTGGGATTAAAGGCACGTGCCACCACCATCAGGTTTAGATGACCACTTTTTGACTTTCACTTCCAAGCAGCTCTGATATGAAGGCTTGCAGGCCACTCTAATTAGGCCCCACAGTCCCTCTGAGGGCTTCTCCTCTCCCCTTCCTGCCTACTGCTGCCCATGTACCTGTGTGGAGGAATGCAGGGCACAGACACCACAGGTGCTGCTGCCCGCTTCTCGGCCAAGATCTTCCGAGCTTTCTTCATCTTGATCCGGGACTTGGCCTTGGCCTTCTTAACCTTCTCTGAGCTCCAGCTCTTACCCTCATCTTCTTCTTCATCCTCTTCCTCCTCACCCTCACTGTGGGATAAGGCAGGCAGGCGGCGAGCAGAACCTGGGGGTGTGTGGATGTCACAGTAGGCTGTCTTACGGACACTAAAGGAGGTGCCATTGGCACCCGTCTCCCGCACAGGTTCCATCTTCATGTAAAGGCCAGCCTGCTGGGCACATGTCACATGGAAGGCTGTGTAGCAGTTGGCCTTGTGGCACTGGATGCAGGCTCCAGAGCCCCGCTGTTTACAAATGTAGCAGGTGAGCTTCCAGCGGGCTGGTGGGATGTGTTCAATGCTGTCAATAGGTTCTAGGAAGACTGTGTTGGCAAAGCAGACCTCAGGTATCCACAACGCACACACCACGTGGGCCCAGCGGCCATCATCCGTCTGCTTAAAGGCACCACCCTTATTGGGGCACAGAGCACAATCAACTGCACGGGAAGGTGATTGCAGGCAACGGCGGCACAGCCACTGGCCCTCAGGGATATAGGGGACACCGTAGCACTCCTGGTGCACAGCCAAGTTGCACATGTCACAGAAGAGGATGACATTGCTGTTCTGGCACTCTCCATCATTGCAGATACAGCATACAGCATCTTCATCCACTAGTGCATTGGGGTCACCTTTATTGTGACTCTCAAAGTAGGATTCCTTCTCCAACCGGTCCATTAGGTACTCAAAGATCTCTTGTGGGATAGGACTCACACCCTCAGTCTTCCGTCGCTCATTCATGATATCCAGCCAGATGTAGTCCTCCTCATCCATGTCATATTCCACTTCCTCATCCAGTTCCTCTGCAGACTTTTCGATGTACCTGAAGTACACACAGGTAGTTTGGCATCACATTGCTGCTATCTTTTCCCCTCAGACAAAGCATTGTGCTTGCCTCCAAGCACTCAGCCTCTGTCCATGTATGCATGTCTCATTCTAGCCTTACCTTAACCCCACAGTCATAGTTACTAGAATCATTTCTGTCTTGCAGAAAAGGAAACCTAAAGTGGGGGAAGTTAACTTCCTTAGCTTACTTGTAAGAAAGTGCCTAAAGCTTGATCATAAACACAGGCCTACCTCTCTAGTACTCATGTTGTAGGTATAGAGGCTTAGCTATACCTTCTAAAAGGCAAAATGTTGGAACAATGAGGGCTCATCATGGGAATATGGGGGATTGTACAGTCAGAGGAAGGCAGTTCTTTGGACAATATTGGCAAATGAATACAAGCTTGCTTTAGCAAAGCTGACAAGTACCAAAGACACCATGGACCTTCTTTCAGAAGGTGCTAGGGGTCTTTCAAGAGCTACATACTGCTTGTTTTCTGGACAGCCTTGAAAGACAATAATAGCCATGACTGACTGGGCATTTACTATGGGCAAGGCACCAGGCCAAATTACATCTATTCTCTATTACAGCTAGCAGATCAGTGTTCTTATCATGTTTATTTGTAGATGAAGAAAGTGAAGCTTTGAAAAAAAATTGTTAATAACCTATGACAGATAGGTTCAATCACTAGGGAGTGACAGAGCTGGCATCTAATCTCTGGCCCCAGCCTTTTCACAACCACTTTGGCACTTTCCAAGCTAGCAGGCCTAGAGCAGGGGCTGCTCCAGGTTGCTACAAAAAACACCCACCTGGCCCTGCCTTAGTCCACCTAGACTCCAGCATTACCAACTATAGAGTACAAGACAAGAACAGGACTTTGGCTCTTAACAGGACATCACCACTCTGCCCTGTATTAAAGCTTTACTGATAAAAGGATGAGGGCTATATTCAGTAAATGATAACTTTAAATGACATTGCAGTTGACAGAATGTTTGCCTACCTTGTACAAAGCCCTGGTTCAATCCCTGGCACCCCATAAAACCAGGTGTGATGGCATAACTGTAAATCCTAGCACTCAAGAAGTAGAAGAATCAAAAGCTCAATGCTACTACACAGTGAGTTGGATATATGAGGCCCTGTATTTAAGGGGGAGGGGGGACTAAGCAGCTAAATCATGTGGTACACCTCATGTTACAGCAGAATGTTAATTCCTCTCTCCACATGAAAAATGAATACAAGCAGGCCAGATGCACAGAAGCTCTGGGGCCATTTGCCTGTCTCTGTATGACAGTACGTAACCTTAAGCCTTAAGCTCTCTGAGCCTTAGTTTCCTTATCTATAGAGTGGCAATGCTAATATGACCCACCTGACATTGCTGTTGTAAACATGAAACGAGTTAATAAAAGGAAATGTTTAGAACAGTCCTTTGAATGGAGCAACTATTCAATAAATGTCAACTTTATTATTAGCTTTTGTATAGCCCTAACCCACTTTGCCTTGAATTATAGCTGTGTGTGCCTAACTCCTTCTCTAGACAGGCAGGGATCATGATTCACTATACAGAAATAGATCCTCAGTGTTGTTCAATTGAAAGGCATTTTGGGGGTAGCAAGGAGGAGAGAGACTAAAATGTGTGTAGGAGGCAGCTTTTTCCTTAGCCCTTTTCCTCTTACCCAAGGTGAGTTCAAACCATGCTCCTGGAATAAGGGTATGATCAGAGCCGGTGTGCCGTACCTGGATGGTCCTCGGGGTTGCACTAGCTCATTTATACTTCAGGTCTTGCCTGTTCCTCTGCCTTGACACATGACAGTATGTGATGGTACATAACACATTCCCACAGGCTTCCAGAGTACAGACTGTGGCACAGATAGGTGGGCTGTGTGTCATGTGTAATTCTTAGCACAACAGCTGACACACCACCCTCCCCCTCCCCCTCATGAAGTACACTGGAATTTGAGCAAGGGAAAATGATGTTATTTGAGTGACGATCTCAGACCTTCTCAAGTTTTTACAAAAGTTATTACCAAAATATGGGGAATTTTGCTAACTATGATACTTACAATAACATAACCCCCAACGGACTGCAATGCATTAGCTGAAAACTGCTCCTCTAGAGAAAAGAGCTGATCCCAGGAGAAAAGTGACTGTGTGGGGGGTGGAAGAGAAGGAGCTGAGTAAGTTGGGCTGGAATGCCTATGAGAACATATTATGCATGCCAAGAGCCACCAGCGGAGAGGAAGGCCCAAAGAGGGGCCTGTTGGGGAGAGGGGGGAAGAAGCATGGTAGTAAATTCTAAGAGAAAAGAGCAAAAAAACCAGAAAGGGGGGAGCTGAACAGATAAAAGGAGAGAAAGTAGTAAAACTTGGACAAGTGGGAGAAAAGATATCTATATCTATATGTATAGATATAGATATATAGTGTCACTGTATTCCCAGGTAGTTACTGCAATATCAAGTGGACTGCATCTTTAGGCAAAAGCCACTTTTTACATAAGAGCCTTTACAATAATGACAAATGAATAAACTGTTTCCTGGCTTTGGTAGCCAGGACTCCAAGGGAGTTTTACACTTGGTTTTGATAACATACTGAGTTCACTACCCCACATGCTGTACATTTTTTTCTCATGTTAACGAAATTAACTTTATTATGTCTGTGGCTTCAGGGCCAGCAAGACAGTTAAATGGGTAAAGGTACTTGCTACCAAATCCGATGACCTAAATCCTATCCGGGGACCTGGGACCTACATGGTAGAAGAGAACTGACTGCCACACGTAGTTGCTTCCACAGGTGCTATGATACAAGTGTATGTGCAGAAACACAAATAAATGTAAAAAGATGTGTGTGTGTGTGTTTTGTTAAACGATGTCTGCACCTTCAACAGGACCACTATGACTAGAAGGAATGGAATACAAAGAAAAAAAAAAAAATGAAATAAATAAAAGAACCATTGGAGAGATACTATGTCAACAATGGAAATGTCAATTACAAAGCTGTTAAAGAACAGGTAACACTAACAGAACAGTAGGGAAATTACGCCACAGATTTATCATCTGCATTTAGGGCCTTCTGAAGTCAATGTCTTCTGCCCTAGGGAAGAACACTGCACCTGTTGTGCAGATGAGGTTTCTAGAGCACCAGGCCATAGCCATGCAGTGAAAAGGTAAAGATTCAGAAATCAGAGCTGAAATGGTGAGTGCAGGGCTTTGAGCTGAGGGAACTTGGGTCTCAAGCTCAGTTCAGAGATGCCTAGCAAGTGACTTCAGACAGGCCTGGCACTCTGAAACGAGAACAATGACTGTTTGAGAGAGTTCTGAGAATAAAGAGGTGGCTATAGCTGGGTGCAATGTCAGAGAACATTCAGAAGGCAAGAGGTAGGTGTCAGTTCAAGGCCAGTCTGGGCTACATAATTAAGTTCCAGAACAGCCAGGACTGTTAAACAGATAAACCCTGTTTCAAAAAAACAAAAAACCCAAATAACTCCCCAGCAAAAACTAAAACCCCCTAACCAAGCCTTATTTAAATTAAAAAGGAAAGGAAAGATGGCTATAAAGCACTGAATGCAAGACCTAGCATGGACCTATGAGGCTAAAGCACAGTTCACACTCTCCTTGGCAGGGCTAGAGGTAGGAGGTGGTGGCCTTACCGGTAGTAGGAAGTGGGCCGGGGTGGTGCATCAGGGGTGTCTTGCTCCAGCTCACGATACACCACCTCTGGCAGTTTGGGAGCAGCACTGGCGGGTGCACTGTGGTGGTGGTGGTTGGAGTCCTTGCGCTTCTCCTTGTTCTTATGTTTGCCTGACTTAGGTGTAGCCGCGGGTGTCTCCGTGTTCTCCTTATTGCTGCCATTCTCTGGAGCCTCCTCAGGGGCCTCCTCATCCTCTGACACCACATCTAAGTTGTCAAAGATGCTGATTCGGTGGACACGGCCGTGCAGGTCCACCTCTACCATGCGCTGGGCCTGAGCATAACTCATCACCTCTCGGCCTGGTGACTGTGAGACTTCAGAGGGGCTGGGTGACTGCTTATTGGCTGGTCGTGACTGGCGCCCTTTCTTTTTGTGCTTGCGCAGTGGGGTCTGCTGTGGGGGTGGTGGGCTGTCGTGGTCATAGTGGTACAGGTGGTACTCAATACCACTGTAACTCTTGTAAACCTTGCGGCAGGTCTCCACAGGGCATTCATATGGTGGTTTAGTTGCCCGCAAGTTGTGGCAGAAGGTCTTCACATCAAAGTCCACCCCCATGCTGTCACATCTAGAATATACCAATCAGTTAGCAAATGCCTGACAAGAGCTTCCAGTCCCTTCACCATACAGCCTACTTTCTCCAGTCTTCCTTCTCACAAGGTCACCATGTCCTGGCCAGCCTCTCTTTAGAGCATCTGTAAGTGCCAGCTCCTTTACCAAGGTCTTGGCACAGGTCCTCTAAACTTATTGGCTATCCTGCCTACAACTTGATTTTTTTTTTTTTTTTTTTTTTTTTTTTAAGACAGGGTTTCTCTGTAGCTTTTGGAGCCTGTCCTGGAACTAGCTTTGTAGACCAGGCTGGCTTCAAACTCACAGAGATCCACCTGCCTCTCTGCCTCTGCCTCCCAAGTGCTGGGATTAAAGGCATGCTAAAATCTCACAAAGTAGAAGTGATCATACCAATGATATGACTGAAAGACTCCCACTCCTCCCCCAGCTTCTTAGGATAATATTCAAACTATCTAGGATAACATTCACGGGATTCCTTTCACTCTCTGGCCCTAGTCTTCCTTTCTAGATTCTTCTTAGTAGCTACAGTTGTCCACACACAGCAGCCTACTATTCCTTGAATGTTACAATCTCTCTAGGTACAAGGGCTCTCTATTAGGAGTGCTGATTGGTGGGCTCCTACAAATTCTTTAAAACCTAATTCAAATGACACCTTTACTATGACTTCTTTTCTCCCATGGAAAAACTGTTTCCACAGCATTCTCTTCTCACCTCCAGAGTGGCATTTTCCAGTTCTGTCTTCTCCCAATCTACTTAGAGATCTTCAGTAGAACCAGACCTATCTATTTCTAAACCCCCAGTTCCTAGCAAGCACTAGACTCTCAAGCCGTGGCAAATAAACGAAAAGCCTGTTGAATGAATAACTGACTGAGCAGACCACCAGATTGGAAGTTGAGGAAGATCAGACTAAGGATAAAAGTTTCGTATGTGTAAGCCTGAGTGGCCACTGGTTCAGTCCTAGATTCCAACAGAAACCACTGGACTGCTTGCATAGTCAGTGTATTGCTGAGGTCTTTATTGGGATCCTCACCCTGACCCATGTGAAAATCATCATCTACCCAGAGAAAACAGCATAGACTACCCTTATTTCCTCATTTACAGATTCATGCAACATTAATCCAGGGCCTACCAAGTGCCAGGCCCTAAGGGCACAAACAGGAACATGAAAATCTAGGCACTGAGTTCCAGAGTTCTCAAGGGCTAACCCCTCCCCCACCCCAATGTTTCTGGGTGAGTAGAGACAGCAGATGGCACCAAACCCCAGAGAGCCCAGCTTAGTCAGTCACTGCCCCAATTTCTCTCAGGATGAGTTTAACTAGAGTGCTTGGGTCCACCAATGCACACTGACTCTCAGTCTCTCCTCCTGAGGCTCAAACAAGATAGTGGGCGGCTCTAGTCCCTCTGTCGACAGCCTCTGACTTCCAAGCTACACGTTCAACTCCAACTCACTTCTATTTCCTACCTGCTGCTGCTGTGTGTGCCCTTTCAACACGAAACCAATTATAGTCACAAACAAGCTCAACTCTTTCCAAGCCGGGTCCCTGGTGAACGCTACCTCTCCGGCTTTGTTGGCCTGGTTCCCGAACTGGCACAGTGCCCCCAGGGACCTGGTGTCGGAGGCACAAAGGTGTGACCAGAACTTAGCTCTGAGAGCCCTGGGGCCCAGAGGTATGGAGGAAGCATCTACTCCCAGGAACTCTAGGAGCTGAAGGAAGTACGGGACAAGGGGGTGGGACCAGGGCCGCGGTGCCCGAGCACGGTCTCCCGGATGCTGCGCCGCTTCCTTTTTGTCAAAGTATAACAAGTCAAACAAGGGTTCCCTCCTGCCACTGGCCCAGGCAGCACCAAAGGACACACACTATTGCCGCGGACGCTCGCCGCGAACGAATGGTCTGTCAATTCTCCCCGCTCGAGGGGCCAGGAGGCGCCTAGAGCGCCTCGCCTGGGTGGCTCCTTCTCCACTGTACTGTCGCCGGACCCGGCCCGTACTCACCGGCCACCTCCAGTCCGGGCTCATCGCCGGGGGCGCCCGCCGGGGCTCCGACCCCGCGTGGGGAGGCCAGCGGGGAAAGACGGGCCGGGAGGGGGAAACCCGAACTCCGGGGCGGGGAGCTGGCCACCCCGGCTCCTGCCCCGCACGCTCTGGCCCGGCTTCCCGCGCTGACCCCTGCCGCTCCCGGTCCCGCCGGCGCCCCAGTGTCGCAATTCCGCAAGCACCCTCGCGTTTCCCGAGCTTTGGGGTCTTCTGGCCTGGCAACCCGATGACGCCGGGACAATAAGGGGGCTCCCGGAGGCGGCACAGGGACAGCGGCAGCGAGACCGTGGCGGCAAAGGCTGTGGCAGCGGCGGCAGCAGCAGCAGCGACGGCGACGGCGTCCGCCAGAGTAAACGCGGCCCCGTGGCGCTGCCTAGACGCACTTTCGCCACTGTTCCCCGCCGGTCCGCTGAGACGCGAGCGACCATCCTTTGGGACTGGAAAAGACGTCTGGACGCCGGATAGGTCCAGAGGAGTGCCTCCATGTTCTCGGGGAGTTTCTGGAGACTGCAGTCGCAGCGTGGAAAGCCGGGGGGTCCTCAGGCCGTTTGTGGCGAATCTGCGAACACGGACGGGCAGCGCGAGGCTGGGCTTGAGGAGCCCGCCCTTCTCCCCTCCCCCTCTGCCGCCGCCTCCTGCTCCCTCCCTCTCGCTGGTGCGGCTGCTGCGATAGGGACCTAGCCTTGGTCTCTGAGGAAGGCGACAGGGCGGGACGGGGCGGGAGCGCAGGGCGAGGCGGAGCTGGGGGCAGGGCTCGGAGTCCGAGGGACGCCACCGAAGCCGCAGGGGCCCGCAGTTATGGGCAGGGGCGGGGCGACGGGGGAAGAATAGGCCGGTTGGGCGGGGCTTGTGGCTAGGAGGCGGAGCCTCCGGAAAGCGGCGCCTTGATGCTACCCGGCGGCCGGAAGAGTGGGCCTGAGGGTCCCGAGAAAGAAAGGGAGGAGCTTTGGATAAACTTGGAAGGTGGAGCTGAATCAGGGATAAAGATACAACTAGGAAGGACCCTACAAAGCTGCTGGGAGAGGGCGGGACTTAGGGAAGCAAGGGGCGGGGCTGTAGACGTAATGTGGGACGGAAAAGCGACGGGGCGGAGGGAAGGCGGGGCTCAACGAGGGAACTGAGCTTGGGGAGGTTCCCAGTACATTACGGTAAAGCGGAGGGATTTAGATTGGCAGCGCTAGACAACTTGGTAACGGGTTGCTGATTGGAAGACCGTGTCAAAACATACAGCCCATTGACTATGACTGACACTTTCAGTATGAACGTGAGAAAGTTGCTGAATTCTTTGGGTTCCTTATTTGTAAACCCAGAGCTCGAAAATTCTGTCAGTTCGTAAGGGTTTCAGATAACTTGTACGTCAGGGTCATCATTGTTAAGCAGTGTTTGCAGTTTCGTCATTGAAGAGTATGAAAAAGTCTTTCAAGGTGTTAGACTTCCTGAAAACTAGTGCTATCTTCATGTAGACTTGGTATTCAGCACCCTAAAACTCACATCTTCATACATCATGCCCTTCCATCAACAAATGCCAATAAAACCGGCACTCCAGGAACTTGTTTCTTGTTTAAATCATGGGGTCTGGAGTAAAACCGGGATTTCTCTTAAAGAAATGGCTTAGTATATAGCTGAGTCTCATTTCCTTGCTGTCAAGTGGTAATGTATAGTATCTTTGCCCCGGGGTTATGTTAAGACTTAAAACAGATGAGATCTGCAAATCGTCTAACACAGACTAATGTAAAAGACTCATTCGCAAAGAAAATACTAGCTATTATACTCATCTAGAAAATTCAAAATCAGCTAGTAATCCCAGTATTCAAGAGGACTGTGGTCGGATTCCCTGGGCTGCCTATCAGTTCCAGATGAGGCTGAGCTGCACAGCAAGACTCTATTTAAACAACCAGAATAAATGAATAATAGAGTTACATAGATACCCCTAGACACCCCCCCCCATGTAACTAAGGGCTTTCCACACACAAGGCCAGGGATCAATCACTGGTCTCTGTCTTTTTTTAAGCTAAGGTTTCTTTGTGTAGAGTAGGCTGGCCTCAGTGTAAGCATTTTGGTGGCTTGGATGGGATGGGGATGGATTCTTGGCACTTGGGAATCACAGAATACTAAATATTACAGCTCACTGGGAGCCAAGGAATACCACAGGTCACAGTAAGCGTAGCAACTTACAGCCCTGCTGTAGGGAAAGGCTTCTCTGGTGTATCAGCTCTGCTTGAGCAGGGGAGGATTTCCCAGGCAAAGTTGTTACAGTTCAGCTCCAGTTCCCTGGAGAGTGGAGTGTAACAACTTCACTTTGCCAGCTCTGCTCAGGGTCGACTCTGCATCTCTGCTCCGGCAAAAGGTGGTCTCTCCCAAACCTCATTCAGTGGATTTATTGGGAGGGAAGAATCCAAGAGAATGGTTGCCTTCTGCCAGGGTGGCAGAGGACAGCTGGGTAGTCATAACAGTCACAAGCTCAATAGACACAGGGTTTATATAGGAGTTCTTAGCGGGCAGAGTTTTTCCAGGGTGAGGGATTGGTCAGATTTCAATCCCTGAGCTCAGAATTGCTAGATCTCTGCTCAGGAGTTGGTTGGTTTTCTGCACAGGTTTAGGGTCAGATTTGGCTCTGGTTTCAGGGCCAAAGTGTGTTTCTTTCACTGGTCCTGTTTAGCATTTTAGCTCTAATTTAGGACCAGGGTGTATTTCTGTCACTGGCTCTGATTCCAGGGACAAAGTGTGTTTCTTTGGCACTGGTTTCAGGGTCTGGGTGCATCTCTTTGGTTCTTGTTGCAGGGCTAAAGTGTGTTTCTTTGGCTCTGCTCAGGGTGTGCTTCTTTAATTGGTCCTTTCCCCTTACCCTCAGACTTAGAGATCTGCTTGCCTCAGCCTCCTGAGTGCTGGGACTAAAGATGTACACCACCACTTTTTCTTAAAATTTATTTTTGTTGTTGTTAAAGACAAGGTCTGAATAAACTGCCTACACTGGCCTTGGACTTGTGATTTCAGGCTTGTTACCACTAGGACTGCACAGTTGTCTTAAGGCCAGCTATTTTGGGGGCAAGGAACCCCTTTAAGAAACTGATGAATGCTATGGGTCTCTCCTGAGGAAAAAATATACAAGGACACACACACACACACACATTTTTTTTTTAACTATTTGAAATTTTATATAGAAGTGACTGGATCAGTGTGTTAGGATGGATGCTAACCTAGCTGAAGCTATCCTCCCTTTAGGTGAGGTCCAGGCTCTGGGTACCCTAGAGCTCTCTCTCCAACACCAATGAGACAGAGATAGAGTAAGATCTGATTTGTTATTGGCATGAGGCAGGTAGGTGGTGGTCATGCCAGGCCTTTCTGTAGTCAGGGGGGCAAAAAGCTTGTCAGCCAGCATGAATCAACTGAGATGGCTCTTCTGATGAGGTCCAGAACGCCTTTAGCTTCCAGTGGGTGGGCAGGTAAGCAGACCGCTAAGCACTGGATATGTGGAGTCCTCAGGGCTGTTCTGGGGCTGAGGTTGTGCTGGGGTTGGCAGGAGGTGGAGGCCGAGGCTGGATGTCTCTGGTCCGCATGTAGGACAACAGTTGCTCAGGGATCTCAGCTAGCACATCCTTGGCCAGTCGTGCCATGCTCAGCACCTGGTTCCCCGATCGGTCAACATAATCTCGGAATGGGACAAACTGGGACAGACAAGGAAGGACCTGTGGGCTCTGGCCAAGGCAGAGGTCAGCACTCAGGTTTCGCCTTTGATCCCTAACATCCTCTTCCAAGCACCACTCTTCTCCCTTGACATCCAACTGTTTTCTACATCTGTTTTCCTCATCCACTCCCTACCTTGGACCCCACTTTCTGTTCACCCTCAACTAATTTTAATTTGGCTTCACCCAGCACTGCTAATGCCATCAATAGCCTTATAATACTAAATCAGTGCAGTGGGTAGTAATTTTCATCTTCATCTTTGAGTCTCTTTAGCTTCATTACACTTGAATGCCATCTTTCTGGATACACCCCCACTTCTTCGTGTGGGGTGCTGGGGATTGAACCCAGGATCTTGTTTAGCAAAGGTCTCTACCATTGAACCACATCTTCAGCCCAAATCCCACTCCTGACACGACATTCCTTTCTTCTATTTTCTGGAAGCTGTAGTCTATCTCAACTCCCAGGTCTTCCTGTGCTGTGAACCCATTCATTCCCCTCCAGGATTTCTCTATGTAGCCCTGGCTATCATAAAGTAGTCCTAGCTACTCATTATGTAAACCAGGCTGGCCTTCAGAGAGATCTACCTGCCTTAGCCTCGAGAGTGCTGGGAAGGAGTGAGTGGGAAAGTGGGAGAGAGAATAAGTTGTTGGGATTGAAAGGGGAGGAGCAGTTTGTTTGGGAAAGGATGTTAATTAAAGGGGGGAGATGTGAAAAGGAGGAAGAAAAAGTACCCCCTGGAGCCCCATATTTACCTCTATCCTTGGTTTCTTATTTTGTTGTTTTGTTTCAAGATGGGATCTTACTGTGTATAACCCTCCTGCCTCAGACTCCTAACTAGCTAGGGCTGTAGCCACTGCCTAACTCTGACCCAGAACCACATATTTAGTTGCTAATACTACTTCTTTATTTGGTTATCACAGATACTCCAAGCCCAGTGTTACTAGATGAATATCAGATTTTCTTGCTCTACCTTTCCCCAACCTAGCCAGTGGGGCATCTCTCACTAGGAAACTATGACTCATTCTTGAAGTTGCCACTCAATTCCTTACCACTGTCTTAACAAGTCATCAAGTCTTATAACATGTTAAGTATCTTGTTTTGTTATTTTTTTTTTTTTTTGAGATAGCCTAGGCTGGCCTAGAACTCTCAGTCCTCCTGCCTTAGACTCTGAATACAGGTTGTGTGTGTGTGTGTGTGTGTGTGTGTGTGTGTGTGTGTGTGTGTGTGTGTGCGTGCACACACCCCCCTCTATGAACAGCTCTTAAACAATTTTTCTTTTTTTTTTTTCAGACAGGGTCTCATATAGGTCCCACACTGGCCTTGAACTCACTGTATAGCAAAATGGCCTTGAACTTTGAAAAATGATTTATTACTGTCATTATTATTGTGTGTATTCAATATGCATGTGTGAATACAGTCATGAGTGTGCACACTGCACATGTGGAGGGCAGAGGACAACTTTTAGAGTGGGTTCTCTCCTAACATGGGATCTCAGGAATCTAACTCACATCATCAGGCTTGCTCAGCAGGTACTTTTAATCCCCACCTCACTGGCCTGACCTTGAACTTCTTATCCTCCTGCCTCCACCCCGAATGCTGGAATTGCAGGCACATACTTGGTTTATGCAGTGCTGGAG